CAGATGTCTTACTGAGGGACGACTGCGTGTGCAAGATGTCGGTAGCTTGAGGAATGAATCCCCTCTACTATATTATAAAGCTTACAAATGAGTTTACAACATTGTCCTGAAATTTTGTCTGTTTGTTCATTTTTCAATCCGGCAGCATCAAAGTGGAGCTTGTTCAGGAGCTGAGCGAGTTCGTGCGAGACCCCGTCCTGCGGGAAGACTCCGTCAAACTGGCGTACATCAAGCTGGACAACATCGTCAACAAGCCGCGCAAACCCAAGCCGGCCTCCCCACAGGTCACCCGCAAAGTCAAGTCCGCTAACACCACGCCGCGGAACTCCCCACAACTGGCCAGGAAGAACACCCCCACCCCACCCGCCTCTCCACTCCTCCCCCGGCGCACCCTATCCCCCCTCCCCCCCAGCCATGTCCCCTCCCCCCTCCCCGCAACTCCCCCGCAGAAGCCCCGCCATGTTTCGTTCCCAGAACGACCAGGGAGCGCTCACCATCCCACGGGCACGGGGGTCACCCGAGGGGAGCCCCACGCTCTCCCGGCGCCCCTCCCCCGAGGCCGGCATGTCCCCACCTCCACGGGGTGGCCCCTGGGGGCTGATGCAGCAGGTCGCCGCGCGCGCCCGACCCAGGGTTAACGCCGGTCACCTGCAGTTCCTACCCTTCAACATGTTCTAAACACAGTTTAACTTGAACTTGACTTATTCCTCAAACTAACCGACCGTCTACTAGACTTCGGTGTGATAGATGTCGGTTAGCTTGAGGAATGAGTCCACTCTGCTTTTTGACTAAAAACAGTTGGACAACAAAACACAGACTCCAAAAGCGTTTCGACGAGCAGCTTTACAGCACCCTACACACACCCTTTCCCTTCCCCAACCCCCTCCATGTAATGTCAGTAGAAAACGGTAGTTTTGAGTAGCTAGCCTCTACCAGGCTTCGTTAGGCGGTTGGAAAGATTAGAGATCGGTCAAATAGAGAGATAGCATGCCAGGGGAGTTGGTCCGGTAGAGAGTACAGTTTACCGCAAACTGTTCTCTCCAGCAGATCAACTCCACTGGCATGCTATCTCTGGCCGATTTCTACTCTTTCCAGCCGCCTCCCGAAGCCTGGTAGAGGCTATTGAGTAGGCACCTGCTAGGGTGACGGACGTTTGGCCCACGGGTGGGGCCCGGAGTCCCTTCCCCGGGGGCCGGGGTGGGGCGGTGGCCGGCAGCAGCGTCCGGCGGGCCCCCGGAGAACACGCTCGACGGGAGCCCGTACGGGCACGACAGAACGGTCTCAGGAGGTACGGAGCATGCGCAAGGGCATGCGCAGACGTATTGGAAGGACACAGGCGAGTGAGAATATTTGAGGGGCCGGTGCGCCCCCGACATCAGCAAGATCATTCTTGGCGAAGAGAAAGAAATGGAAGGCGAGATATCCAGCGTTAAATCCGCGCGGACACCGATTGAGGCAAACTTCGGAGGAAAAACTTGTCAGTACGTTCGGACAGTGAGCTTTGGGAACGAGAGGTTTTCAGTACGAGTTCGAATCTAGTCACGTGACATCGTAACTGTCGACGTCTCCAGCCGACAACCCTGGGAACGAGACCTAGGCGAGCCTAGGCTGGACTGGGCTGTTCCGAACATCGAGAGAAAAACTGAGTGTCTGGGAAAAATTTTAGGACTGAGTTTCGCGCGGACAACATACGCCCAGGATACGTAAAGTCCGATATATGCTGCACACACAAGGGCTTAGTAAGCCTGTATATAAGGTGCATTACGTACCGAGCTGTTTTTTAACACAGCTAAACCATTGCGTAGGTGAAAAACTGATAGTGCAATACAGAGAGCCTATAGATTTGGGGCGAAGAGAAGTGGTCAGAACTATTAAAAAACTGCGTTTTCGGAGTGAGAGTTTTTACTATGGCGAATGAGAGCCCCACCCGTATATTTATATGACAGCTATGTGATCACATATCTGGTATATATCGTACTTTTTCCACCCACGTGACGCCTGTTTTATACGCGGTTGTATAATTCCTACGAGCCGGTCCGTTACCTTTAGCTGTTCACTGAAAAAACGACAATAAATCCCAACTTTAGAACCCTAATTATTGTCTGGTGTTTATTCTGTCTATCTTCTTTTTAAACCATGTTAATTGAGTATATGTTGTATTATCTTATATCTTAAGTCATTATGAAGCAAGTTTAAACTGTAATTTCCATCACAAGAAATTGGACTTGACTTGACAAAGACATGGATCGAGTTGTACTGTCTAAAATTTGGGCAAGTCTAATTTCTTGTAGTGTTAGAAATTACAGTTTAAACTTTCTTCATATTGTATTTATCTTGTTTGTGACGATCTCGCCTTTTTCCAGCATTTTGTGGGCTACATTTTTGTTCGTTCCGTTTTTACTACACCGCCCAACATCTGTATGTATGGTGTGTATTACTATTAGTATGCATGGCTGGTATAACCACCGTTCAGCGTAACACACTAGCTTCATTTGGCTTCGCAGGCATCTGCTTAAAGATTAAGCCTAGAGCACTTCTTCCCAAGCCCCAATTATTTCCTACCATGTCCACATTTAATGTCCAGCAGATTCCAGGGTGGCATAAGACAGTATCAAATTGGCCAGGCAGTATCCATTGGCCAGAGGGTCCAATACACCAGCCAATGGATACTGCCTGGCCAATTTGATACTGTCTTTTGCCACCGTAGGACCTGCCTCGAGATTAGTCCACATTATCTAGTGGCAATTACGTCCCGGTATCGCGTCTCCCCGTCCCGTGCGCCCTCTGGGCCCGGCTACTGACATATAAACGCCGGGCGAGTCGGTATAATTGGCGGCGAGGTTCCAGCTGGCTTCACCGATAACATTCTTGTCGGACGTGACAGCTTGGCTCTGGCCTGTCAGCAGCAGTTTGTAGCCCAGTCAGGTTTAATTTGAGGAAGCATCTGTCTGAAAAGAAGGTTCCAAAGCTATAGGCGCGAAGTGGGGTTTTCAGTCGTATTTCATTTCTTAGTATGCTTAGTGGTCACTAGTAATATACGCAATAGACATTAATATATAGCTAGCTGCCACCGTGCCGAATGGCGGTTATACCGGCTATAACGAAAAGACCACAAAACCATTTTTATGAATCGTTTAAATTGCAATTGTTTAAATTACCATTTTTTGCGTGTAGGAAATTGTATAATTTCTTGTCCCTTTTATCACCATTATCATTGGCGATTATATCATGCCCCAAAGTGTTACAGGTGCATCGTGATGTAGCAGATACCAAAATCCATACATACAAAATACTAAGTAACGTTACATGTACAAGCCAGTTTCAGTCGAGTAGTGCCTTTCTATGTTTATGCCAAGAGAGCATGAAAATAACTTCAATTCTCTAGCAACCTTTTTTGGGTCCATAGCCCTACTAAAAACTAACTGATTGTTCAATATCTCATGGTGGCATTGGCATGGTTCCTTTGTAAATGACGGGGACAATAAACATTGCATCTGAGGTTATGCCAGATGCCTCTGTTCCTGTTTTTACCTTGTCATGTCTTTGTAACTACATAGGACAAGAGATATTTTGATAAACATGCCCCCGATCTGTCATACCAAAACTGGATTATATAGTTATGAATAGTTCCGTAAATAATCAAAACAATGTTGTTTACAAGGGAGGGTACTGTCTAAACATTTATGATACTTCTAAATAATGGGATACTATAGCTAGTACCACGAATCAGTATATAATCTTGTATATAAGGTTCTTACATGTACCGTATGACAGGTGCCGTATGTCGTACAGAGCAAAATGTTGTATAGGAGTCCGAAGCCCCGTCCCATCATGTTTACATTCCCACGGTATCATGACATCGGGAGGCGATTTTGTCCCGCTATGCCGCATATGTGGGGCAGTTATAGTCTCTACCAGACTACTCGGGCTGCTAAAAATAATAAAACTGGTAGGAGGAATTAGACTGGCATTCTTAAAAGTTAATACTATCAACAGCGACTCTACGCAACTCTATGACTGGCCAATTCTTTTTGCTAAATTCAGTTAGCAAATGTTCTCTCAACGGACAAACTCTCTTATCTCTATTTGGCCGATTTCTACTCTTTCCAGCCGCCTCCCCAAGCCTGGTAGAGGCTAAAATTCAGTACCCTATGACACGCATGTGGTCGATTTCTATTACTTTTTAGCTACCCTAAGGAGTCTGGTTCGAGGCTAGGCCGTCGGGGCCAGACCCAAAAGGACATTGATATCAACACGGCAGGCAGAGGTCATCACAAAAACTTACCTTTGGTCCGTTAGTAAAACGGGCTGTCACTAGTTTCACCTGTACAGGTCCGGTTCTGTCCGGAAAGTTTTGCTGCAGTACCAAGGGAAGCCAGCAGGGGGGGCCAAAATCTAACCATTTCCAGTTTTCGCCACTCTTCCAACATGCCAAGTATGAAACCAATCCATCCAGCCGTTCTTGAGTTATTTTGTTGACTAACAGACGGACAAACGCAACTGAAAATATAACCTCCATGACATGTCATGGAGGTAATAATAATGTTGAACAATAACATTCGCCTCACCATCTCGACCAAAAACACGTAATTTCATGTAGTGCTTCCACGATGTTAGGTATGGTCCCTGTGATTTAACCAACATGACAGTGGGGACCCCTAGCTGTTGAAGCCATCATTACAGGCCAATAGTGCTGATATCTGATGGCTCGTCGTAGAAAAAGGAGGCATTGTTTTGGTATGTCTTTTGTGTGTTTCATTTGCAGAATGTAGAAATATAACCCAAGTGTTTTACATGATAGGAATGCAATACATGTGTCACATGTGTATACAGTCTGGTCATGCAAATTGTGGGTGTTACATCACAAGGCAGTTTATCAGTTATACATGTATGAACCACCAACCAACCAACCAACCAACCAACCAACCAACCAACCAACCAACCAACCAACCAACCAACCAACCAACCAACCAACCAACCAACCAACCAACAAAAACTTGAATCTACCGGTATGTCTCTCATTTATTCCATTACATCAGTACATCTCATCAATACAGTGCAAAGACATCAAATGTCAACGAAGTTGCCAACAGTTTCATCAGTTTCTGTACGTTTTTGTTCTACTATTAAGTGCAACTAAGTTCAGGAACAGTTTACGTAAGAAAAGTCTAACTAGTCCATCCTTCCTTTCAGTGTTCTGGTTGTCACCTTGTCCTTTTCTCTGAAAGATCAAAAACAAGTGTTAATGTACATACAAGAGCAAACCAAAAGTAATTTTACATAAAAAAATTAACAAATCACTCGAAGCTAAGTTATATTCCTACAAGGAATTGTAGTTGGGGACTTCGGACACACAAACAATTATGTGTTCAGAAAAAATATTCTTGTATTGCTTTGTGCTGTAACCACACAAACCAAATACATACTGAGAAATGTTGAGGACATGAGACTTAAAATGCTGCTCATACATCCTTTAGTTTTCACAACATACCGTTAAATACATGTAGTTAGAAGAAAATTGGTCACACCATGTAAAAGAAATACTACACAATATCGGTTACTTTTTAGTATTCTTTCTCATAGACATTAAAACTTAAGAACTTCTGAAGCCTTGCTTATTTAACTTTCAGCCTTCTAACGTAGCCATTTCAGATTTGGCACCAAATTTGTGCTTGCTATAGGGTAAGACAATAGGGAGAAGGTATGAGAAGGTATATAATAATGATAGAGGTGTCTGAGATTTTGTGTGTCATACTTACATGACATGTACCACAGCCCCCCATCCAGACACGGCATCTCTGTCCACAGCATTAAGAAGGGCCTGAGAGATCGTCTCAAACAAGTCGTCTGGCTCCTACAAACATGGGAAAGATAGTAATGGATCAATTGTTATAATAGTAATCGCATAGCCACAGGACAGTTCAGCCATAGCCGGAGCATTGGGATTATACCATGGTCAATACTGACTGAAGGCCATATACCAATTTGCATATTGCTAGTTGTCAACAAAATTGTGCTTTCAGCAAAATATATAACATAAAGTGTTTGTTTTTTTACTAAAAAATAAAAGAATTTCTTTAGTAACTGCAAGTAAGAAATGTAGCATTAAATTTTGGGCCAATGTTTCACCACTCAGCATCAGGTGTTACATCATGGACTCTGAGCTAGAAAAGGTTTATCAGCTCGACAATTTTGTGTCCTTTTCAGGGGCCCACAAAAAAAAAAGGCTAGGGTCGGCAGATTTTTCTAGGGTCAGTTGGGAAACAGGAAACACAACACCAGGCCTAACAGTGATAGGCAGTCAGTATAAGCTCACCAGGTTTGGTTCCCAGAGAGATTCGCACATCCCATACATCTGTTCCGAGCACGTCCCGCTCACGACAAAATCCTCCGTCACCATGGGACAACCAATCAGGTCACAGGACGCGATGAAGGGTTCAAAGGTCTTGGGGTCCAGGCCGGCTATGACTGGTTCTACAAAATATGGTCCAAACCTGGAACAAAAGTGTAACAGCACAGGGTTGGACAAGTTTTCAAAAATCCACTTGCCCTATTGGGCAAGTACATGGACATCTCCACTTGCCCGAACCAACTTTTCACTTGCCCAAAATAAATGACATTTTTATATGCATTTTCACTACCAGCAAGAAAACTATTTTCATTTTAGAGTTATCAAAATAAGGTGGTTTGAGACTTAATATAATATCATTATGGCCAAATCATGAGTAATTTTGCTCCAAACACCATAGCGGGTATACTTCGCATCCCAAAAATTTACTTTCCCAATCGGGCAAGTACAGGGGGATATTCACTTGCCCGAACAGTACTTTTACTTGCCCTGGGCAAGTGGGCAATGGGACTTGTCCAACCCTGCAGCATAAACAATTTATGAAGATTCTAATAAATGAAATAAGAAAATAGAAGATTTGTAATCGCCATCTTCCAGAATTTCCCCATGTCGACCACTTATTCCTGTTGTTTCTTTCACTCACTCACTCGCTCACTCACTCACCCACTCCCACTCACTCTCTCATACACACTCACCACACACTCGCGCACTCTCTCACTCACTCACTCACTCACACCCACTTACCTACCCACCCACCCACCCATTCACTTACTCACACTTTAACTCACTCCTCACTCACTCATGCATTCACTCACTCACTCACTCACTCATTTAATGTTTCACCAGTTTTAGCTATAGGTACATGTAACCAGATCATGGATTAATACACAAGTGACATCTAGAAGTAGTATAGGATGCCCAAACCTTCTCTCATACAGCAGGTTGGAGACCATGGACAGGAAGGTCTTAGGTTTGACCTGCCGCGCTTCCCGTAACTCGTACAGGTTCAGTCGGAACTTCATACGGTTCGCACTGGGGGAAAATACAACAGGTAAAATTATATCAGGTATCATCAGCAATTTGTCATATCACATAAAATCCATACAAAACTGAAAGTTCTGCTGCAGTACTATTACAAGCTGCCTGCGGGCCTAACATTTAATCATTTCGAGGTCTCATCAAGACCTACCCACCTACTAAATATGAAGTCAATCCATTTAAGCCTTCTCAAGTTATGCTGTTGACAGACATACACATGAACGCCTATGAAAACAACCTTCTTGGCGAAGGTTATAACAAAATGAACTCCAAAAGAAACCAAGGCTAGATGCAGAAAAAGTGCTTTCACATAGTATGAAGTCAGTCCAATTCTACTATAAATGGCTCTGCTCCAAAATACTAGTATAGTAAACCTACTAGCCTCCGTAGCAGGCTTATAGAACTGGGGGTTTGGTGTTCTTCGGCTGTTTTCTGATTAGCCTCCGTAGCAGGCTTAAAGAACTGGGGGTTTGGTGGTCTTCGGCTGTTTTCTGATTAGCCTCCGTAGCAGGCTTATAGAACTGGGGGTTTGGTGGTCTTCGGCTGTTTTCTGATCAGCCCAGTTCTAAAAAAAGGGGGGGTAATTCTACCAGGCCGGCTATGTTGTCTATATGCAATCAGAAAATAGCACATAAAAGCTCTCAAAGGCCATGAAGACCCCAAAACCCCCAGTTTTTGGCATGCTATGGAGGCTAAAACCTACACTGTCTGTACATCTGTAGCGAGCCCAGGTAAACCCAGGAACAGTCTGTCTCCCATCTGGAACACCTTCTGGAAGTCCATGGACACGGTCTGGGCCTGCACGCCGAACCGACGGTCTGCTGCTATGGCAACGCAGTCCTTGCCAACCATCGCGATGATGGCGGCGCCGTTGTAGGACATAATAGACTGGGAAGGAGACAAAGGGAATAATTAGTACATGTATCACAAGGGAGAAAAGAGTCCTATGCATCCTCACACCTAAGTAGAAGGCTTCTTTTGCAAGAGGGCGCAAACAAATCATGTTTAAAGTATTACATACAATTGTAGTTAAAATTGTAGTGACACCTTCATCAAGTTCTTGTACCTACTATAAAAGTTGTGTCATTACATATGTGATTCATCAGTTATGTGACTTATGTATCTACTATACATATACAGACTGCATAGTTGATACTGATTATTCTATCAGTTCAAATGACAATATACACAAGTGCATGTCTAATTTGACACAATTTATATTGCAAAATGGCAAGTCACTTGCTGCAAAACTGTCTTTCTTGGAGCTAAAGGGCCGTTTTTTAAGTACTTTCTGTTCACAATAATTCTACACATGAAGTAAAAACGCAAAGGTGACTAAAAACAGCCCTAAACTTTTAGTGGTAACGTTACAAAGCAGAAACGAGACGTAATTTTCATGATAATTTGCCCCCCTCCCCCATTTTTTGTTCAACCCTCACATCCAAAACAAGAGCTGCCGTTGACATACAACAAAATATCAACACTATCAAGACACAGATGCATTGCCAGCAGTATAAGCATAACAATCGCTGAAATAAAACCTGAATAGGTAGGCTCATTTTTACAAGTTTTTGTTCAAAGTAACCCATCTGACACCTGGGTTTCGACCACAAATACCGAGATATTTCGACCGATAACTTACCATTTTGGAGAAAAAGGATCAAACCAACCCCTGCTATAGAATTTGTAGGTTTGTATGGAATAAATTCTGGCTACCGAGATAGCCAAAATTCCCCCAGATGCGTCGGATGGAAAAGGTATCTCCTTCGCTCGATGATTTGCAACTTTTCTTGTTCTTTACAAAATGGCGCCTGTCTATTTTGGTGCCGCAAACCGGTGCCTCATGTCGTAAAATCCACTGCAGTTGCCGTGCAGAAGCGCTACCTGGCGATTTTATTATGAACGACATCCATCGGTTTATACCTAAATTCTGATTTAAAATCTGAATACATTTTGTAAAGTTTTCAAGCATTTGCATAAGTTTAATCTGTACATGACGCTAGATCTAGACCCAAAAATAATGAGTGATGAAACTTCCGGGATGGTTCTTCAGAAAGACAGCTTCAAAGCGTCCGTTTTTTTTTTCTATTTCCATATTAGGAAACAGCGAGAGTGGGGTCACTGTCTTGCCAAAAATAGCCACTGGCCCAGATCATTATCTGATCACCGAGGCTCAACACTCACTCGGTAAGTACAACGCACTCATTTTGAAATCAGGTATATAGAGCCCTCCCAATAACCATATTTCCTATGCCGTGTACATGTTACGAGTGCATATATTTGTAATAGTTATCGAGAAAACATATGTTTGGACATGTGGCTTGAAATATTACTGTATGTTGAGCCCAGTTGAATCAAATAAATTCCTTAGCTTTATTCAATACAAGGGATTTTAATATGGACAAATAGATAACATAAAAGTACAGTTATATCACGGGACTTCATATGTACAACCTAATTAAACTCGGTAGAAAAAAAGAAATACTAATTATTCCACATATCATCATGTATATCAGAATATAGTTTGCCTATAATAAACATAGAAATTTATGAGTTGTGACAAAGCCATGAGTTACAGGGATTCATTAATGGTTCAGTGTTCTGAATTATTGAAGATACACATGGATCCTTCAACCGAATATCTATTGGTCTCTGCCCTGACTGGTCTGGGCCCTGAGACCATGACTTGATTGGTAGGTTTAGCGAAAAGATAACAGCCCCTCAACTGAATAAACACCACAGGGTCCTAGTATACACAAGTCAATGTTATCTGATTGGGGTTTGAGTGGGGCACTACGTATATATCGTCGGGGTTATCAATGAGCATCAACTATAAGGGCCACTAAACTCTGCAGATTTAGTTTGTCTAAAGCAAGCCTTTCAGATGAAAACATTGAGGATCATTGAGGTAATTTCTTTAATGGTATACTTTAACCTATAAGCTCCTTGCTCATATGTAGTTGAAACTTCCTTGATCTATAATCATGCGTCTCCAATCGAATTAAATGTCTGTTTATGTATCCATTTTCCTGTGTTTTAGATCCACGTGGCCTGTTGGTCTAGGGGTATGATTCTCGCTTTGGGTGCGAGAGGTCCCGGGTTCGAATCCCGGACAGGCCCTTGTTTTGTGAAATGGTTTTCTAAAGTTACTACATATATACTAAAATACGTATTGAAAATTTATCTAAAATAATTGTTTCGTAACTAATAGTTAATGATATATAAGTATACATTTTATACTTATTTGTTTCTTATTTATTCTAAAAATGGCGGCCAAAAAAGAGGGCCTGTCCGGGATTCGAACCCGGGACCACTCGCACCCGAAGCGAGTATCATACCTCTAGACCAACAGGCCGATGAAACATTAAACCGAAAAACAGAAAGAAATGGTCAAAGTCAATGGATACTAGCATATTGTTATAGACAGTGTTTTTGGAGTTTCTTAATTTCATTTCATATGTTCTTTGGTGAAAAAGTAGAACTGAATCATATTTTATGCGAATAAAGCAAAATAAGGGAAAACGTCTACTGCTTTTATCAACTATCCATAATAAAAAAAAGTCGCAATACAGAACAAGCTAGCAATTATAAACGAGACTCTATCAGCCGCCATAGCTCAGTTGGTTAGAGCGCTGGTCTAGTAAACCAGAGGTCATGAGTTCAAATCTCATTGGTGGCTACTTCCATAAATTTTATGATTTCGTTTTCCAGGTGGCTTTTTATCTTCAAATGTAGCTTATGCTCAACTATAAGCCTGAACTCCTTGCTTGCATTTCTGCTGTCAAACGGTTAATTACGTTTCTTCTTTTGATTTCGATATCTATTTTTTTTCGTACAATTTTATTTGTATGCCCACCAGACCAGAAATACTTGTCATTACACCTCGTCCGCACAAACATTTATATCGCCAGCTGCAGGCTCTTTTTGTGCCAAGTGCACTCCACTGCCAAGTCCATGTCTTATTTCTGCAACTGTAGACGATGTTTTTCGTTTTGCAAAAGGCTAGGCGAAAACAGGCTCGTTACTCAAAAGTTACAACGGCATACCCTGTATGTTACAACGAACCAGATGTCTGTGATAGCTGAAATACGTTGTCTGCTCAGTATGTAGCCTGGTATCCAGTCTTACGTGGTAGGGGCAGCTGGTTTTCCTTGGGGTTGTAGGAGCTCTTTCCCACCCGCTAGGTTTCCCGGTGGGTATTTCACGACAGATAGTTCGTGTTGGGGCATATCAAATCCCCAAGCATCCCATCTCTATTAGCGTAACACTCCTGTCGGAGCGGCTGTTGCACTGGGCGGGGGAAGCTATTAGAGCCCCCGAAGACACAGCCTGCCTTAACACCCCAAGTACTATGCCACAACCACGTAAGACTGGATACCAGGTTATTCACTATGCCACTAGTGTCAGAACTTAAACAGAAATCTGGACTAGTAAAGGGAATCACAAAATTAATGTAGTTAGAGAGCAATAGGGGCTGTCTGGGAATGTTTCATTTCCAAGTTTGTTCTCTTGAGTTCAGCCAGTTTCCTTTTTGGGGGTCAGGTTTTGCTATAAAACTTTCTGTATTTTCTCACAGAGTGTTTTTGTGATCCAAACTGTCTGGAGTACCTGCACACAGTCGCACCATTTTATCTTGTTATACAGTGTGCTTAATTTTGTTTTGCATTGTTTTTTTTATGAAGGTTTTCCTGTGTATTGAACTTTATTTCTATTTCTGAGTTATGAAGTTGACTATAAGTATTTTTAGTGGGAACCCCAACTATTTGGACGTAATTCTGATGTTTTCTTCTGTATTTATATAGACTGGTTTATTTGCAGAAACACATACTTCATACATACATAGTACAGTAGGTTAGAAGCTTTTTGCAGCCAAAGGCTGAATTGAGAAGCTTTTACAAATTTTTTAAAAAATTACATGACTAATACATAATATATATACATAAAAAGTGCCTTGAGAGGCATTAAACACCACTTATACGCTAGAATAATACACATTTATGCTAAAATTACATCATACAACTTCTGTTGGCAAATTACTTAGGTACAACTGACAATAATAAAAAAGTACAATTACATCATGTGCAACAACATAAAATGAAATCTACTGATTTTCAGATCACTAGAAGAGACACTGTAAAAAGTACACGGCAAATCCTGAAGAGACCCTGTGTTTCCATCTTTCGATCTGAAGTGACCAGGACAACGAGAAAAGCGATTGGAGAAGTCTAAGGGCAAGACACCTCAGAAGTACGGTAATCCTGAAGAGACAGTCTCCCCAGAACATCTGCCATGGAGCCACCTCCGGACGAGGATCGTCACTTCCGGGACGAACACTACCCGCAACGTCACTTCCGGCAAACCTTCGGTCACGTGATGAACCCAGGTGGGAACCTCCTCACGCCGGAACAGCTCAAGAAAAGGAACAAGAAGACTCACGAAACCGTGGCGAGAGCGCTACAACAGACGTTCGAGAAACTAGACGACCTGCGAAGGTATGAGGGCCTGCACTAGCTTCTACCAGGCTTCGGGAGACGGTCGGAAAGAGTAGAAATCGGTCAAAAAAAAAGTCAAATCAAAGACAGCCGCCTCCCAAAGCCTGGTAGAGGCTAGGCATGCATGCCCTTTTTTTGTAAGGCGTTATCAGGCATTTAAAGGCAACCAATGCAGCTTTTTCGAAGTCAATATTCTAGTCTGAAAATTCCGACTGAAAATGGTTACAGGAAGGGCCCTGGGCTGATTTTTAGGGTACCACCCAGAAAATAAAAGACTCATCTTGGGACTTGTTTCTGCAATTTTGAATACCAAGAGTATGAAATACTGATTGGAATGTGGGGTCGTGTGGCGTAGCGGCAGAGTACGCGACTCGGAACCTAGAGGTCCCGGGTTCGAGTCCTGACATGCCACCGATCTTGTGCCTTGGGAAAGGCACTTAACACGACTTTCCTCACTTAGCTCAGGTGTAAATGTAAATGAGTATTGTCCTGTCATGTATTTGTCCCCTGTGTTGGTGGCGGCATTAATATAAGTTGATAAAACATGATAAAACTTGAGTGTGCCGTCACCACGTCTGGTGATTACATGTTGGAATAAAAAAAAAGAATGTGTCCTCAGGTATTGCTTCGTGTGTGAGCGGTCGGACAAGGTGAACCGGTGCGCCCGGTGCCAGATGGTGTACTACTGCGGACAGAAATGCCAGAAGAGGGACTGGGGCAGGCACAAGAAGGTCTGCAAGTTCCTGAGTGGGGAAAGGATAGATCAGGTAAGGTAGCAGTAAACGCATGTATAGCAGAGACACCTGTTTTGCAGTGCAATGTGAACCAGTCAGAATTGCCCTGAGGAAGGTGACAGACGGTCACCGAAACGTCGGCTGTGAATAAAAGACTTGGTTGTGTAAAAAAAAAGTCTCTTTACTCAGTGACTTACCAGCCTGATGAAACTATTCACTGAAGTAAACGTAGTAATTAAAGGTCGAAGATAGATAGATCGTTGCAGAAGTTAGCGTCGGTCAATTGTCTAATACCTAATGGTAACTACTAGTATTTCTTTACGGATACAACCTTCTATCTATCCATCTACATGTATCGATCGATCTATTTATTTGTCTATCTATCATGCATGTCCATCTCAAACAACGTGTCTAATCTCTGATAGGTTTGCTTATAAATATTCACTCACTCTTCTTGCATCGACGTGGCCTGTTGGTCTAGGGGTATGATTCTCGCTTTGGGTGCGAGAGGTCCCGGGTTCGAATCCCGGACAGGCCCTTATTTTGTGACGTGACATCGTTTTCCAAAGGAAGTACCTTAGTGTGTAGTACGGTTGTAATTACAGTTTTTAAATACACACCTTCTTCATTCCATCAAGTTTATTAATTTTTGTCATATTTTAGATACTTGTCTAACAAAGCCAAAAATACTAATCGTATAATGTTGTAACGGTGTACTTCTTATCACACAATCCAGGTAGCTGAGACGCTGCCCTGCCAGAACGCGTGCCATGTCCTGAAGCCGGGGCGCGCTTGGACCAAACCGGCGGGCGAAGTCGCGACCTGGGCCGACTGGCTCGCCATCAACCCCTCGGTGGCCGCCGAGATCCAGCGAAACGTCCCGTCCATGGTGGAATGGTACAGCTTCATCGGCCGGCCTGCAAGCGAAGCCGCGGTGACCGAATCTCTTCAACGCTGCTGTACAGAGATGTTAACGCACCCAATCGTCATAGGAAAAGGGCTGGTCACTTTTAAAGTAGACCCTCGGGAAAAACCTGTCCATATACACATGGTCGGGGCGGCCAAACCAGAACTTTTGATGTCAGAGATCGCAACCAGTACGCAAGAACTCTCGGCCATGTTTCCCAACCACCAGGGCATGCGGATTCTCTTGGTAGGACCCGAGGTTCCACACAAACTTGCCATCGGCAACCCTCCTAGTAACAAGGCTCTCAGTAAAGGGAGGATAGAGTATGTGTACTGTAACGAACTGTATCATGACTTTGTGCACAGGTACGTGGACCACAAGAGGTGCCCGGCCGCTGATTTAGTCATTGCCTTACATCCAGGACTTCATACCGAAGTCCTCATAGAGCCATGGACCCCAACCATCAACCTACTCCTAGATAGGGAGCTACCGACGGTTTTTACCATGTATAATGTGGCGGAGTATGACGATTCGGTGGAAATTCTTGTCCCGTTTCGACCGAATTACGTGCAGAGTGGGACCAACCCGTTCGGATCTCTCTTGGCGAAGCAGACGCCTTTTGACTTGAATCAGGTCTTCGCGTCAAATAGCTACATTCTGGCTATAAAAGGAAGGCAAAAGTAGCAGCCTCCATAGCATACCAAAAACTGGGGGTTTGGGGGGTTTTCTTGGTCTTTGGGAGCTTTTATATATGTGCTATTTTTTGATTGCATATAGACAACATAACCAGCCTGGTTGAATTACCCCCGTTTGTTAGAACTGGGCTAATCCGGAAAACAGCCGAAGACCACCAAACCCCCAGTTCTATAAGCCTGCTACGGAGGCTACAAAAGTAGTATCTGTAGTAGTGCAACATGTACATGTATTTGGTGAAGGGACACGATTTTGTCAGCCTCTTGTTAGGCCTATCGACTTAAGCCGAAGACTAGAGTAGTGAAAATACTGGTACAAATGTACTACAAGATGCGACCAATGATTGTCTCCATGCGAATAGATATACATGTGTTGCTTGTATTTTGCTTAGGAGTTGTATTCAAATGCTCCGTCTAGATAAGTACATCTACATTACATAATTTGTCTACTATACGTTCATTCCTGCATGACATCAAGCAAATGTTAGTGAAAATGCCCTGCTTTGACATGTCTTTACCATACATGTATGTTGTCTATTAATAAATTGTAAAGTTTCGAATAGCTATTAAAGTATTACTAACACGCAATACAGTGTATTTTGTCTGTGTGAATGATAGATAGGATGACTTGATATTTACAGGTTCGTGAACAAATAAAAGATCATAAGGCCACACCAAGTAAATTTTATGGATGACGTTCGCGCGCGCATTGATTTTCGCCTGTTCCTAGAAAAAAAAACAAGAAATTCCTGTAACTTTGAACAAAGAGTCACGACAGTGCAGCAAATCGTCAGATTGACGTGAAACCCGTAACGTGAAAACAGGACAGGACGACAACTGCTGTTCCACCTGATTTATTACTGTTTTGATGATGAGTAAAAGACTTCTTGCTTGTTACACTGTGTCACCTCATTCAATTTGTGTACTAACATTTGTCGTCTCTTAGTATATTTCTAATCTAGGCATCTTGTTTTTTAGGGCCCTTCTTGTTTTTTTTTTGCCCTCTCGCATTAGATATAGGGTCTCCAAAGGACGTAATCCATAAAATTTACTTGGTGTGGCCTAAAATCAACACACACAAGGCAAAGATGTCGATGATGGCTGTCAGTCTCCAAGCAGATCTTGGGGATAAATCGTTACGTTTTCTGACTGGACACAAAATTTCATAGCACCACGAAAACAACAAAACAACCTCACCAGGAACATACAGTATACGTATCATACCGTTTAGCTGGATATCTGACCTTCATCGACATATTTGAAGTATCAGGTAGGCAAATTAGAAAGACTATTCCATGAGATGCCTTGCCTAAGGGCTATTTTAGTAGAAGCATATCGAAAGATATTAGATTATACAGTTATAATGTCACAATACATATAGCTTTAGATAAAGTACTAAAGGAAATACTGCAACAATACGTCAAAATGATAATATATAGCATTCTAAGTCTAATTTAAACCTTCTTTCAACGACCCCCACAGTGAGTAGACTATTCTGTTGACCTCTGACCTGCCTGTATCCAACAATATGCCCAGATCGTTTCGGATTTTCTTGATACTTGGTACCGGATTTCTGGCTTTTTGCAGCATCTTAGGCCTCAGATAGTTCCTTAAACTTGACGCAGAGAATCTTAAAGACATGGAGGACGCAACTGCCGGGACCTCGAGTCAAAAACTAGGGAGGGAAGACTTGGAACAAACGCTGAAATTTTCGGATTCGCCAGGGCAAAAAAATAAAGACGATATCCCAACGAATCAAAAACGCCCGGCTTCGGATGAAAACGCCAGCACTAGTACGCCGGCTGGCTCTGCCGAGAAGAGCACGGAAGGAGGAGAGAGTTCGGCTAAGAAGCTGGCGCTAGAACGGGTGGGGAGTGTGGAGGAAGGAGAGACGAGGAAAAGCAAGATGGAACAACTGGAAGAAGAGCGACAGAAAATGCAGTAAGTGGGGAGGGGGGCAATGTTGTAGAATCCTTCATATTCAGTACCACTGCACTGTCACACCTAGAGCCCACGTCTAGCGGAAAAACAGACGTAGAGCAAGGAAAACAACAACAACATTCATATTCAACTTGCCCAATCAGAACAGAACATACGTATGCCGTTGACCTAGGTAAGCTGAAAAGAAAACAAGCCTTAAAGAATATGAAAATTTAATGCCATAAATTATGGTAGCTTTCAAAATCAGTGTCGATAAACTTTCATGATATATGATGAGAAACGCATACAGATAGACTTGATATCACAGTTCAGTTTCTATTTATGATTTAAGTGCCGTACTCAAATTTGCATATTTTCACAGTGCAACAGTTTAAATTTGCAGCGAGTCTGAGAGGTCCCTGCAAAAAGAATGAATATAAAACCCCTGCATATTATTTACAGTCTAACTTGTGTTCCAGGGTTCTGGTTGCCTCCTTCTCAGAAGAGCAGCTGAATCGTTATGAGATGTTCCGAAGATCAGCTTTTCCCAAAGCTTCTATCAAGAGGGTGAGACATGTCACCTAGCCTCATGTCTTTTGACGTGTTCTGTATCTGTATCAACCCATTGGTGATTGGTCTAAAAACCACTTACAATTGGCATAGTATATGATCTTTACAAGTATGTAATGTTACAATTTACATGTGCGCATGTACGTGTGTATATATTATAATAATAACGTTATAGTACTAATAATTTGGTATTGGTAGGCTATAACAGCTTGTCATGTCTGTTCCTTGCATACTAGTATGTGACTTTACTTCACAGTTTTAAGCCATCAACATCAAAATGCTGTTCATGTACTAGAGAATGGTAAATGAAGTTCCAAAATACAAATTTGGAGGTACGTGTTTGCTACCTTTTGAAACAGTCACGGATTGATAAATATTCTACTAAGTAAGAGTTAAGTTAGGTTTTCAGTTGGATGCCTAGTATACATACACAATTACATGTAATTAATCAAAGTGTTCCTATATATTGTCCCTTCAGATAATGCAGCAGATGACAGGCACCAGTGTGTCCCAGAATGTGGTCATCGCCATGGCCGGGATATCCAAGGTGTTTGTAGGAGAAGTAGTGGAAGAAGGTACGCTAACACACATTTTAAACACAAGATGTAAATGTTCATCCAGCAACCTTAAGCCTTATAGATTTAAAACCTAAACCATCTTTAGCACTTCAGCTATATCACATACACTTATCAAAGATACATGTACTAGTACGAGCTGCTTTTAAAACATTTCTTGTTTTACTACTGTACTAATTCAGGCTTTTTTTCATGGTACTTTTGTGTTCACGTTTTGTTAAATTTTATTTGTCACTTCCGTACCGTGAACTTATCTTTACCATGAACAAATAATTTGTCATTTAGTTTCTTTCTTCTGCACCTGCCGCCACTGTGAACATATAGTTCCGTAAACATGTCCATTTTTCTCAGACTGCGAAATTTTGCTATTTTGCTGAATGACAGTACAAATGTATATGCCTGATGCCTCAAACTTTGACCGTAAATCAAAATGTGCACTTGAACTGTGAAGTGACTTATTAAATATATATTTCACACATTGTAAATTGACATTCGCTTCTTTTGACTCTCACCAAAAACTCTCATCCTCACAGTTATTTATACATTATATGTATTGTTGTATGGTCACTGCTTTACCCAGGATACAGAATATCCCAGTTTAAACTGTTTGATGTTCCCCACAGCTCTAGATGTGATGGAGAAGTCCGGCGACTCTGGGCCGCTCCAACCGAAACACATCCGAGAAGCCGTCAGAAGACTCAGACTTAAGGACCAAGTACCTTCCACAAAGTTTAAGAAAACCCTGTTCCGTTGAATATTGTTGAAGAGGTTCATCAGTCACGTAGAATTAACAGTTAGTAGAAATTCTTCAATCAGTGACTGTATTTTTGTAAGATGGTAAATCACGTACCTCCAAATAAATCGCAATGAAAGTTGGGAGCTGCCCAAGTCCTACCTACCCCTACTCCGCAAGGAGGTGGGGGAGGTCAGAAGATCCACACAAGTCTCGACCTAGTCTCGTGTTCTCGCGAGACTAGGTCACTCCGTGATCAAGGTGTACAGTCGACACCGAAAATTTGGAGGTACGTGATTTACCACCTTACGAAAGTACAGTCACTGATCGAAGAATTTCTACTAACTGTTCCGTTGAAGTTCTTGTTTCAGTTGATATTATTGTTCAGTTTCAGTTTAATGTACAGTTTATTGTGTAGTATAATGAATGTATGTCTATGTACATTTATGGTCTGGTTTTAGCCAACAAGACTTAAATATGTCAGGTTACTATCATTTCAGACTACTATTATTATCAACTTCTTTGATATTCACTCTTGTGATGACTGATTTGAAATGTGCATAAAATAAATATTTTTACTCAGTCATTTTTTTTCCACCCAACTTATTGGTTTTGAGTTGAAGCAATATACAACAGTGCAGCCATTTAAAAGAAAATCAAAAGGATAAAGATTACACAGAAATCAAAGTGAACAAAACTTAGGAGGAAAAGTATTCTTTAAAATGGTAACAAATGAAGCTAAATACACGTAGTTGTCAAGACCACGTATGCAGATATCTTCCTATTGCAAAAAGATAAAGAAAATCGTAAATAAAATACAGATCTGATCTCGAACTCAAATCTGAAACGTATATCTGAAGCTAAAAAGCGTTTGTTACTGATCTCTTGTACATCACCTTTTATAAGAACAAAAAGTAGCCACCAATGAGATTTGAACTCATGACCTCTGGTTTACTAGACCAGCGCTCTAACCAACTGAGCTATGGCGGCTGATGATGGAGTGCATTTATTTATTCACCCTTGTAGAAGATGGAAATTATGTATGTTCCTATCTTTCTAACTATTCTCTAAGTATATTTGTCGATGTTGATCAGAACCTTGCCAAATTTTAAATGAACTTACGTGCGTACAGAATCAAGAATCTGCACTTTATGTATATTTCAAGATGTAAAAATAATCAGAAGTTAAAAAAAGAAGTAATAACCATTTGACAACAGAAATGTTCATGCAAGTTTATAATTTTGCACATGCCAAACTTTTAGTTAAAAAGTGACAAGGAAAACTGGATCATGAAATTCTAGTAAATGAGATAAAAAGTAGCCACCAATGAGATTTGAACTCATGACCTCTGGTTTACTAGACCAGCGCTCTAACCAACTGAGCTATGGCGGCTGTTAGATACTAGTATATTATAATATGCAGTTGTCTGCATCGTTGGATTTATATTAATTGCTTTTAATTTGTTAAAATATCAATGAACTAATTTATCGGCATAGATTGGTTCTTTGGCATTTGTGTTACAGTTGGAAAAGTTTTATATTCAACCGACTGGCTAGTTGAAGCTTTTTCTTGACTTGATGTTTGATGGCCGTGCAAAAAATAATTTTGGAAAAAAATGATGAAAAATAAAAAGTAGCCACCAATGAGATTTGAACTCATGACCTCTGGTTTACTAGACCAGCGCTCTAACCAACTGAGCTATGGCGGCTGTTAGAGTTCTACCGAACTCTGAACAGTATTATTGCAAACACAACTGGGATGTTGGCCGGTGTATCCGGGTGCCAGCTGTTTACTTTGGGACACTGGATCAAAGTTCGCGAAACGCGCCCCGCGACAAAGCACTTACGTAATCAATATATCAGCCAACTAAGCCAACATTGCGAGATTTGCGACACAATCTTACTTTTAAAAGCACAATAAAAAAAGTGGAAATCAGAACGAAAATCAATTTGTCTTGCTTAAATGAAAATAAATTTTATTGCAAATTCGTGCCCGGAGGCAAATTACAGAACATAAGAGAGCAATGAAAAAGAGTATGAAATAACTTAAGTCTACATGATAAAGGTAGTTGTCTGGAACTATAACTATGTCTAAGACTATGTCTGAAGGGTTTGACTTCTCTTCTGTAAACCATGGAAGACGCAATGTCCCACCTTTAAAAAAAAGCGGATCATGAAATGACCAACAATGAAATAATCAAAGAAAACAAACAAATGGTTGGAATGCTTGTACCCTACATATACATGGTAAAACAATGAGGTCAGTCCGCTTAGTGTCTTTACTTTACAAAACTTCAAATTGTCGAGACGCTATTGTTAGAGACAAAAAGTTGAAGGCGGCGCGGTCATCTAACACTAGTAACAGGTGTAAAGCAAGAACAAAAGAAAGGCCAATGAATATAGCTGCATACGAACTATGTATTTATTTGCGAAAACTGCAACATATTTGTAGAATTTCATTCTTACCTAGGAAAGCCAAATTTGGATAAAAGTTTGTTGAAAAATAATCAAGTTTATGGACAGATCACTAAAAAGAAATGAGTTTTAGGATAAGATCATGGCCATAGATAAACTCTTATATTAACAGCTGGCCTGTTGGTCTAGGGGTATGATTCTCGCTTTGGGTGCGAGAGGTCCCGGGTTCGAATCCCGGACAGGCCCTAATATTTTTACCTGTGGCATCGCATTTTATATGGCTGCCTCAAAACGAAATATAACTCTTCTTTTATTTATCTTTAATAATCTGTTCAAATACATACATTAATTTTGTTGATCACAGTAGCTTTTGTAGACTGCCTAGAGCGTTCATCGAGCATTGAAGAGAATTAACTACACAGGCACCTGTACTGAAACAGCTGCAAGCCGCCATAGCTCAGTTGGTTAGAGCGCTGGTCTAGTAAACCAGAGGTCATGAGTTCAAATCTCATTGGTGGCTATTTTTTTTTTCAAAATTCATTTTGCCAAATTATTTTGGTGGCGTGTCACATTTCAAGCAAGAGCTCGAAAGAAGACCAGCCAATGCAGGTTAGCTTTGAAGAAATGCAGGTATTTCTGATGTCTACCAGCACCTTCATGTAAAAATACGCTGAAACAGTTACTCAAGCAACTTAATAGTTTTTTTTTCTACATGAAGAAATGCGTTTAGATGACCTGCCTGGGCACCGAGATAGGAAAAGCTGGCAGGGTTTACTACTTGAGTGTGATGATGTCACAATAATTGGTCGCCTTGGTGGTGACTTGAATTAGACCAATTCTAACGATAGGGGAAACATTACAATAGGGTCAGGTAAAAACAGGAGTGCTGGACAGGCCTTATGCATTAATAGGACGTAAGCATGGGCCTGAACATTGATACTTACACAAATTACTTCTTGTTACTAGTATCCAACGACCCAACCAGCGAACGCGACTCTACCTATCAAAAGCGGATGACGTTGTGGCCCCCGGCAAAACGGTCACTTACGAAAGGTAGTGGATGCTATGATTGTAGTATAAGATGATTCATCGACAAGTGAATTGTTTGCTAGTATCAAATTGTTCAGAAATATGTAAAAAAGATGAATATCGTTTATTTCAATTACTCTTCATTGTTTGGTACGTCGGTGAAGGTTAGACATTCAGGTGATGTTTTCTGGCGTATCTTCATTGTGTGGCCTGTTGGTCTAGAGGTATGATACTCGCTTCGGGTGCGAGTGGTCCCGGGTTCGATTCCCGGACAGGCCCGTTGTTTTGTGTTTTGTTTTTGTTAAAACTTTTTGGGCTTTGAATTTCACACGATAATTTTGAAGAAAGACAAGTTCAATAAAGAAAAGAAGGTGACTATCAAAAATAAAACTCTACGTAAAGTTATATTCGTGTATGTTAGAATGGCATTCCGTCTATAGTTTTCAAATGCTGCTCTGGCAAAGATACCGTTTGCAACAGGTGAAATTATGATGCAACGCCCAACAAAAACCGTGGAACATTCGGGGTACGCGCAAGCGCAGGACGTCCTGGGCATGGCGGGAGAAGCAACGCCCCCTAACGACTGTTATACTGAACTACAGTCACATCGTTTTTGTTTGTCATGATGATTCATTCTTCAATAGGTTCACATGGTGTGTATAGAGTTTGTATACACAAAGCAATGATTTAACAATGGTGTCGGCATGTTTTTATTTTGCATCACTGTCCATATCGTTGCTTTGCAGACAGCAGTTTCTTTTTGCACAATAAAATAACAATCACAACCATTTTGTTTTAGCATGAATGAAAAGCTATTGAGCGGTATCACAAAGCCTAGTGTGATACTGCAAATAGTTGAAACATAACTGTTATTATTTATTGCAGTCATAATAGATTTGCCCCATTATCTATCCAAACGAAAACAATCACAGTCCGTTCCTAAGGTCTCAGTCGTCCTTGACCGTGAACAAACTTTGTCCCACAGCGATTCGATCACTGCACCTCTATAGCATCGCAGACTATCATATGCACACATATACTATAGTGTGTATAGCCTCTACCAGGCTTCGGGAGGCGGCCGGAAAGAGTAGAAATCGGCCAAATAGAGAGAGCGGAACATGTTATCTCTCTATTTGGCCGATTTCTACTCTTTCCAGCCGCCTCCCGAAGCCTGGTAGAGGCTTTAGTGTGTGTGCGGGGGGGTTAAAGTAGTTCAGACGACTTTAATAGAAGAAAAAAACCGTCTGGATGAATTGTGAATGCTACGCGCGCGCCTTTGTTGATGTGAATATGCATTCAGCATCCGTTTGGACCCATTTTGAGGCGTAACCTTCCACCATAGAAGTCCTGAATAGCATTTGGCACGGTTGGCCAGTGGGTTAAGACCGACAATACAGGCTGTTCAGGGACTCAACCGCAACATACAGTACAGCGTATGTATGAAGCTTACATCACTAGTACAACAATTTGGACAGGACCCAAATTGTCAATAAAATCAATGAATTTATACCGTACATTATTTGAGTATTCTTATTGTATTATTTCCATTTTCTATTGTATTATTTCCATTTATTGATTATATTTGATTTTGTATAGTTTAGAGGAGGAGGGCCTTGTATAAGCATTCCATGCTTCTCCCCTCCTCCTGCACCTGTTTTATCCTTGTTTTGTATTATTATTGTCTGTTTTGTTTATGTGCAAACTAATAAAATCAAAAATCAAAATCAAATCTATTCGATAGCTTTCGCAAAGCTTTCTCAATATCCACGAGTGGTGGTGAGAAATCTATTGGCCAAAATGTATGTATTGAAGTCAAACCATTATCGTCACAAGTCAACAGAATTCAGTAGAAACATATTACCAAACTCCTAGATATTGAGAAAGCTTTAAAGCTTTCGCAATATCTAGGAGTGGTGTGTCCAAAATGTATGTATTGCGCTGACATCAATACAAGTTGGACAAATTTCACCAAAGAAAAGTATAACAGGACTCCAGTTAGCAAGCGGTTTAGCAAAATATGTCACAAGCTTTCGCAACATTTAGAAATAGTAGCGGTTGCGTTGAGACATTTATTTTTGGCGTGCGTGTCCAACAATGTATATATCTAGCTCACACAAAACGTACTAAACGTACGCCTCAGAGCTAAAGCTATCGCAAATCGCATCGGTAGCAAAAATATATATGTCCAAGGAGGTTTAAACCCCCTTGATGTGTCCAAACTAAAGCAACATTTCGCAACATGTTGTAGCGGTGTGTTGAGAGTTGAGACATTTATGGTCGGCGTGCGTGTCCAACAATGCCTACGTGACGTCTGACCTGAAGTACCCCTCAGGCAGGGGTGTTTGTCCCGCTCTGTAGCAAAAAATATGTCCAAAGCTTTTTCGCAACACAATAGTAGCGATGTGTTGAGAATTGAGACATTTATTGTCGCAACATTTAGAAGTAGTAGCGGTTGTGTTGAGACATTTATTGTGTCCAACAATGCCTATACGTGACGTCTGACCTCAAGTACCCCTCAGGCGGGTGTGTTTGTCCCGCTCTGGCTGACTGCAGGCGATCAATAGCGGCAGCTCTGTGGTACCCATGGAAACCGCAAGGCTCTTTTGTGTCGTCTGATGGGTAAGGGTTAGCCTCCTTCGCAGACTTTTGAGGGGGGTCGTGTGGCGTAGCGGCAGAGTGCGCGACTCGGAACTAAGAGTCCCGGGTTCGAGTCCTGACATACCGATCTTGTGCCCTTGGGAAAGGCACTTTACACGACTTTCCTCACTTAGCTCAGGTGTATATGAGTATTGTCCTGCCATGTATTTGTCCCCTGTGTTGGTGACGGCATTAATATAAGTTGAAAAAAACTTGAGTGTGCCGTCACCACGTCTGGTGACTACATGTTGGAATAAAAAAAAAAGACTTTTGAGGTGGCGGTTTCAATTTTTTTTTCGGGGAGCGACGCGAGTTATGCTGGCGAGAGATCTCTTAGGAGGCGAAATCGTCTCTGCCCGGCAACATTCTTTATTCTTTATTCAAAACAGTGGTCAGCATAGCAGCAGTACATCATGAATTATGGACCGCTGAATTGTGCTGACCTTACATAGTAGTACATAAAAAATACAACATAGATACAAACAGAACATACAGATTCACGACAATTACAATATGTACAACACATAAAAACTAATTCTGCATTTGACTGTTATAGAGTCCCTCGACGGCAAAACCGTTCCTCACGCGACATAACTTTTTTTTTATTCCAACATATAATCACCAGACGTGGTAACGACACACTCAAGTTTTTTCAACTTATATTAACACCAACACAGGGGACAAATACATGACAGGACAATAATCATTTACACCTGAGCTGAGTGAGGAAAGTCGTGTAAAGTGCCTTTCCCAAGGGCACAAGATCGGTGGCATGTCAGGACGACATAACTTGCGTCGCTCCCCGTAAAAAAAATTCAACGCCACAGCCACAGAAGACTGCGAAGGGAGGCTATGTGAGTGTGTCAACGGACGGGAAGTGTGGAGGTTCTGAAGACCGCAGAACATCCTAGTACGTGCCGATTGAAGCCAGCCTGAGCTAGCCCGATCCGCTATACGTTAACGTTGTGGGCCGGTGGATGGTGTTATAGGTACAACCTAGCTCCTCGACAAAAAGTTAACACTGCCACCCCAGAAGTCTGCGAAGGAGGCTATATGAGTGTGTCGACGAACGGGAAAGTCGTCTACTGGGTTTGGAGGTCCTGAAGACCAAAGAACATTCGATTGAACCGGTCTGAGCGCGATCCGCTATACGTTGTAGGCGGTGGATGGTGTTCGGGTACAGCCTAGCTCCTCGAGAAGTCTGTGAAGGAGACTATATGAGTGTGTCGACGGACGGTAAAGTTGTCTACCGGGTTTGGAGGTCCTGAAGACTGAAGAACATCTGATTGAACCGGTCTGATCGCGATCTGCTATACGTTGTGGGCGGTGGATGGTGTTAGGTACAACCTAGCTCCTCGAGAAGTCTGCGAAGGAGACTATCTGAGTGTGTCGACGGACGGGAAAGTCGTCTACTGGGTTTGGAGGTCCTGAAGACCGAAGAACATTCGATTGAACCGGCCTGTGCGCTATCTGCTATACATTGTAGGCCGTGGATGGTGTTAGGTACAGCCTAGCTCCTCCTATAGTAGCGCATGAGTAAGGATCATGTGATAGTGTTGTTGTTGTGAGCGGGGGCTGTATTGTACGTCGCTGATCCGGGTATACGGGCTGGGCCCGGCGGAGTTCTACTGTTACTGTTACGTTGTACTGCAGAATGGACCTCTCTTTGTGCGCGACACCCGACCGGACCACATACGGGGTATTTCTTCTTCGTAGCAGCGGAACGACTACTCACACTTCTAGTACGGCCAGAGGAAGTGCAGCAAAAGCAACAACAGTTTTCTGACGGGACCCTTAATAGAGGCTACGTACTCGCGCCTTGAGAGGAAAGCAGACCGTCGGTGGTTTCAAAGCGGCCAGTAGCGCATGGAACCTCTGTTGACTGCGGATGCCGGTTTTACGCTATTCCACAACTGTTAAGGCTTGGCGGTGACCTGGTATGTTAAGCTGAAGATGAGGATGGAACAACACGCTGTCGCCAGGTTCCTTCTTATAGGAGCGCTTCTATCGGTCACACAGGTGAGTTTTTATCACTTTTAGAAGAAGGTGTGCATCTGTTCGTCCCAAGAACGTCGTGTTTACTCATTAGGTGTGCTTAGAAAGGGGGAGAAAGAGTCGAAATGTTTAACCTGCCCGCTAAACAAACATCGGTAAGACGATCGCTTTTCACTCCTACTCCACAGTCCGCCATGATGCTTGCTTTTAGTAGACACGTAGAAAAGGAGAACGTTTTGATCAAATGTGGCTAATCAGAACAAATCAGGTAGTAAGAGGTCGTAGACTATGAATCGTAAATGAGTAGTAGAGTAAAGCACATTGACATTTATCAAATGTATAAAGGTAAAAGCGAGAACTACTATTGACTATTGAAGCAGCACAATTTGCTGCTTTTAGTAGACACGTAGAAAAGGAGAACGTTTTGATCAAATGTGCATGGTTAATCAGAACAAACTTACAAATCAGGTAGTAAGAGGTCGCAGGCTATGAATCGTAAATGAGAGTAGAGTAAAGCACGTTGACATTGGGCAAATATGTATAAAGGTAAAAGCGAGAACTACTATTGACTGTTGAAGCAGCACCATTTGCTGCTTTTAATCACAATATTTATTCATCTATCTACTACTTCAAACCAGCTAAGTTGTAAAATAGCTCCAGTTTTCTTGTACTTCCCACACAAAGTAGGATGGATACATTTTTTACGAGTTTAAGACGACAAATTCCACATTTTTGGGGGGTCAGATTGAACCACAAGAGGACCATGTTATGTCAACATCGCGCCAAAGGTCACCCAGTATGTAACTAGTAGACGATAAAGTATTTTTCAATTCAGACCGTACATAAACCTAGTTACCACCTGTGGTCCGTGTTACATGTCTCTAGGTGTGTTAACGGCATTCAATCTTTGTGCTATTGACTAATACTGCTTCACATAAGCACATTTGAGTCACTATTTTATACTTTGGGCTTTTAAAACTGCAGAAACAAGCCCCGAGATGAGTCCTTTATTTTCTGGGTGGTACCCTAAAAATCAGCCAAGGGCCCTTCCATTGACCATTTTCCGTCAGACTTTTGGGAATTTTTGCCTTGAGGGTCAATATATATATATATATATATATACATTGGGATAGTGTGGTTTCAACTAAGTATGTGGATAAATGGATATGATATTGGCTTTGAAAAATCGGGTTTCCAAGCCCTAAAAACTGCACTGAATGCCTTTAAAGGATAGACCCCATTAAAACCCATTCGAACGACGTCCAAGTAATCCGGGGGATTAGAGAACAATTCAGTTTAGTCCAGACGACATCGGTTAACCTGAATAGTTTTACTTGCGTGACAGGCCGTCTTCCTATAGCTATAACCATATCACAACAGATTCAGCGATAGACGCTACCGTATCATGTTAGATACGAGATGCTGAAACCAAAGACGTGTAGGGCATAGCACGCATACTGGTTTATCCAGTTTGACAGCAAGGCATAAGAATACAATTATGGTATAGGAAACAACTGTAACTTTAACAACATAACAGAAGGTATTTCTCGGATATTCCAAGTGTTTTGTTTTCGGAAACATTTGTCAATTATCTAAAATTGAACATAGTTTAATCTTCAATCAGATCCTAGGGTGGCATAAGACAGTATCAAATTGGCCAGGCAGTATCCATTGGCCAGAGAGGGTCCAATACGCCACCCAGGGATACTGCCTGGCCAGTTTGATACTGTCTTATGCCACCCTAGGATCTGCTTGGAGATCACATACTTTCGTGCGCGCACAACGAGGGTCCTAAACCTTTCCCGACCTATATCTCTTTTGCAAACAGGGATCGGTTAGACGGTTGTCACATTGATTGATGACTTTGTGACACAGGACGGCCTTGTCTCTGGAACACCAGACAAAAAGGTCCCGATCCCAAGCAGTAGCACACTGGTGTATCCCAACATAGGTCCTAGCAGCTTATAGTAGAGTGCACATGGATCTATTCTTCAAGCTAACCGACATCTATCACACCACAGTCGTCCTCAGTAAGACTAGTCTCCACCAGACTTCTTCTGCGGGCTGAATAAATAGTAGAAATCGGCCTAAAAGGGTATTAATCGGCAAGAGAAGGTAGCCAGCCAGAGAAGCTCCATTTGCTTCTCTTGCCAATCAATACCTTTTTTAGGCCGATTTCTACGATTTATTCAGCCTGCAGAAGAAGTCTGGTGGAGACTACAGTAAGACATCTGGAGCCGCATGGTTCCTGTTTAGAACTTTTATTCAGTCAGTCAGTCTGTGATTGAGAATTTGGTGAACTTGTGTGATTTAGCCTCTGTACACTCGAGGAAGCCCACATGGCGAAACTGGTCGTGACAGACTGAATAAAAGTTTCGGGAGCTACGCGACTCCAGATGTCTTACTGAGAGACAAGTACTAATGTGTGTGACACTAGTAGTTGGTTAGCTTGAGGAATTAATTCACTCTACTATATATTGTGTTATGTGAGTGTAAAACAGCGATCTTAGTAAAATGTTGAACTTTATTCCAACACAAAAATTACACAGAGATCAAATTTTTAACGACCACTGTCGCCTTCATCAGGATAATGAATGACCAATCACTTGTAATCTCGCGAGAGTGTAATGTTTGTGTTGGGAAAAAAGTTCAACATTTTACTGTCATTATTACTAACACAGATGAGCTTTCATGAAAACAGTAATATTTCAATTATGTTACATATACGGTCCTGTATTGTGAAGATCTCTTAAAATAGCACATGTACACTATGCGGTTTTTGATCATTACTATTTCATATTGTTCTAAATGTATATTTACGCAGCCGGACAGTCCCATGCCTTAGTCACATAAGACTATGATATGATTGACGTGTGTACACTAATTGTGTCAAAACTATTCTTGAAGACCTAGTCTCTCATTGGTCGAGCTACTAATTGCCATTCAATCATTGGTTAAACAGTTGACTGTTATGGACTATCAGGATCGGTCTATTAGCTAAGTGAATAATATTCAGGAGAGTTACTTTCTATTGCCGGCTTGAAAAATAACTCTAACAAAGTTAAGATTTAAAGTACAAAACAATTAGGGGTTACCTAGAGCACGAGGCTTCGCTAATCTTGTTTTGTTCACGGAACTATATGTTCACGATGGTGGCAGTTGCAGGTAAAAGAAAGTCCAGGAATTATTTCTTTTAACAGTTAAAACTGTAATGATAAGTTCACGGTACAGAAGTGACAGTGAAAACAGTGAACATAAAAGTACAGTGAAAAAAAAACAGGAATTCCAGTATGTTTTGAACATTGTAACTACTGCAACGACAAGCATGTGGCAAAGGAAACACTGAAAAACATGCATGGGCATGCTAAAAATAGAAAACACAAAGACGTGAATAGCAACAAAACAACATCTTTTCAGAAGTTTAAAACGAACCATTTGAAACACATCACTTCAACGTGCAAACAAAAACGGAACAGTTCTGCGTCTCCGCAAATATTTCCCCATTACGTGCTTCACAGTTCCTCATTTTTCACTCCTCTCCAAACTGTTTTTTCATGTCAGAGCATGTGTTGTTGCTGTATGGGTATTTTGATCGCAAGCGCCCGCTGAAGAATGCGCCGCTACCACGCGCTATTGAACTTCCCTATTCACCATAGATCGGGTTACCCACTTTTCTACTTTTAGACCACCTGCGCTCCGGTCCCCAAGGTAGAAAAACAACGCCACAAATCCTGTTGACGAGCGGGCTAGCTCCTTATGTACAGCCGGACTCAATATAATGCGCAAAGCCCCTCTTGACAATGAACTACTGAGTGGGCTGCTTTGTTCGGGTTAAAAATAGTTCGTGATCTTGTTTTTGCAGCATGCTGGAAGGGGGCAGTGGTATTTACGGTTGGGTGAGGAACTGGGATTTGTAGGGAACCGTTGACAGATGTCAGTCATGCCCGTTGATAACTTTACTCTCTGTGTAACCGCATGCACGTATTATTATCCTACAGTTGTCTTAAACGGCCAAGGGACTTTTCACGTCAATTCCTAAATACGCCTGTTTACTTGTTTTGCATAAACCAGCTTTAGCTGTAGCAGGCTTATAGAACTGGGGGTTTGGTGGTCTTCGGCTGTTTTCTGATTAGCCCAGTTCTAAAACGGGGGTAATTCAACCAGGCCGGCTATGTTGTCTATATGCAATCAGAAAAAAATAGCACATAAAAGATCCTAAAGACCCTGAAGACCCCCCAAACCCCCAGTTTTTGGCATGCTATGGAGGCTACTTTAGCTGCAAAACACCGGTTTTGTGCAGTAAGTACAGCCTGTGTAAGACTGGACTGTAAGGTTTGAACAACTCACACTGGGATGGGTTCCTACGTACCATTTTTGATGAGTGTTGTGGTGGGATCTTTAACGTGCTTAAGGTGTAGCTCTCTTCAAACATGGGATCTCCGGCTTTACGTCCAATCCGAGATGACGCCCCTAACCGAAGTTAGGGACTCATTTTCACCTGAGTGAAGTGAGGAAATAGGTGTAAAGTACTCGAATGAAAGCTCATCTGTGTTGGTAGCATCCATAGTCAGAAAGTTTAGGCTTGTTCCAACACAAGGAAAGAACTCACCATAAAGTACCTTTACAAAGGGCACAACACCGGGGCCTGCTAGGGATTTGAACCCATAACCGTTAGATTCTAAGTCAACAACCCTAACCACAAGACCACCCTACCCCCTTTAAAACATGTACTTTTACTTAAGCTTCCCGTGGCTGTAACGTTATCCACTCCAGGTATGTAGCCACAACAGAGGGATCTTTGCGAGGGACATACTTTGTTCCAGTTCAGTGATAGAACAGCAACAGCCTTTTTCTGTCCGTGTTTGTTTCAATACCAGAACATCATAGCTGATTTCCTTCACGACACTGTCTGTTGTCCATTGCAATAACAAAACAAAACAAAACAACAATCAATCAAACAAACAACAACAAAAAAAACATACAGAACAAGAAAGGTAACATTTGCAAAGCAAATACATGTTTACCTTCGCATATGGTCCTCTCTGTTAATGTTAATTCTTACTCAAATACATTCATATATATGGTCAGACAGGAGTATAAATCCCTACTACTATAAAATTGCAACCTTATGTAACCCAACACCAGTTACCATGGTGAGAGGTCAGTGTTTGGAACGGAAGAAGAAAAGGAAATGTGGCAAAAACAACAGAGCATGAAAACTCATAGGGAGATTTTTAACGGACTTCTGACTTGTGGGATCTTTATTGACACAAAAAGTATGTTACCAGCATGGCACTTGATAGTGACTGATGCTGACAATCCATTTTACTTGCCAATTTCAGATGGCTGTCGCGGACCAGACAGAAGTCATAGAAATTCTCAGAAAAGAAGGATTCAAGTGTCGGGCATTGATTGCTCAGAGCAGCCCTCCGGATGGAAATAGTACGTATAATAATGGATATGAATGATCTATTGTGTGTGTGTGTGCCTGAGTGTGTATGTGTGTGTATGTGTATGTGTGTGTGTGCTGTGTGTATGTGTGTGTGTGTATGTATGTGTGTGTGTGTGTATGTGAGTGTGTGTGTGTGTGCGTGTGTGTGTGTGTGTGTGTGTGTATCTTGAGGGACGCCGGACAATGGTTATTTAAATTAATTACCAAAAATTGATTTTTTTTTCAGAAACGTACTGCCCTCCCGAGTGGGACCTAGTTACATGCTGGCCATACGGGGAACCAGGCAAAAAAGTCGATCTGCTGTGCCCCGCGTATTTACCAGACTTCAACAACAAAGGTATTTTGATTTGATTTCATTTGATTCATTGGAATTGCAAACAATACAATACTCGTGGGCCACAGGCAGCGGGGGCTGGTGTTGTGGCCCACACACAAGTATGATCACACAAACAAGACAAACATTTAGACATAAAAACAATAATATTTCTACGTTCGTCTGTTTTCCAAGCAAGATTTTCACTGTTACAGTAATTCTTACATTTACAACTGTCTCAAGAAGCGAGAAGAAGCAGAACCTGTACATTTGTAGTTTTGCTATAGATATATTTTAATCCACCAATTCGCTATATGCCGTGACCTGTACTTAGTTCTCAATGAGCAAAAATGTACAATAAAAGTATTTCATTCATTATTGGTACTGTACTGCTACAGTACTGCCCCTATATTGCTACAGTATTGCTACAGTAATTACAACAATATTGCTAGAGTACTGCTACTGTATTGGTACAGTACTGATATGTACGTAACTTTCCTTCCAGGACACGTGTTCAGATTTTGTGACGTCAATGGAAAGTGGGTAGTCAACCCTGCCACCAACAAAACGTATGCAAATTACTCAGCATGCCTGGAAGAAAGACAGGTGAGCACAAAGATTTTTTTACATCTATTTAGGCCACACCATATTAAATTTATGCATGACATCCGCGCTCGCATTGACTTTCGCTTGTTCTCCCCCCCCCCCCAAAAAAAAAAATCGCGTCCTCCGAGGCTCTGGCCTGGCTTTAGGCCTGGGTAGTCCATGGTTGTTACAGACAATACGCTAACTACGAGTAACTCTTAAGGATGGCACCCAGGCTACAGAAGCTCCACAACTCAATTAGAACGAACTCAGTACATACATATAGATACACTTACATTTGTATATCATTGCTTTGAAATGTGATTTTGCAGATATTAAACTAATGCTATCATTTTACAGTCCCGAAGAATTCCACCAGAGGTCCTACAGAGAGTGACAACTCTTTACACTGTTGGGTACTCTGTCTCTCTAGGATCGCTCTTCATAGCATTCATCATTCTAGCTTCTTTCAAGTAAGTCTACATGTATGTACTTGATAGCTAGGCTATACCATGTTCAGCTAAAAACACTTTGCTGTTAAGATGAGGGGTTCCTTACGAAGTGAATAAATGGGTGGAAATGCAATAGAATTAAATGTTATCATGAAAGTTCATCTGTGTTGGTAGTTACATGTTTAAAGTTAAAATGTTTAAAGTTAACCGCGACGGGGGGCGACATTGTCTAACAGATACCTTTGACCCAGTGTTGACGTCACACTTCAAAGACACCACGTGACCATCCTCCCTGGGTTAGTGTACTGAGGAAGGCCAGAATGACTGGTCGAAAGCTCTAGGTGAGAGAACTGTTGTGTTGGACCAAAAGTTTTACCTTTAAACACGTATATTTAAAAATTTATCTTTGTTGTTAGGCGGCTCCACTGTACGCGGAACTACGTCCACATGCACCTGTTCATGTCCTACATGCTGCGGGCTCTCTTCATCCTGGTGAAGGACGCTGTTCTCGATATCGGGGCTTCAGGATCAGCAGAATCACAAAGGGGAACGGTAACACACTTTTAGCTATAGTAAAGCGTTTTTTTTTAATTCCAATATTTCATGACTCGACATGGTGACAGCACACTCAAGTTATATAAACTTATTTAATGCGGTCACCAACGCAGAAGACGAATACAGGACAAGACAATACACGTGCACGGGAAAGTTGTGTTTTAAGTGCCATTCCCAAGGGCACAAAATCGTGGCATGTCAGGACTCGAACCCGGGACCTCTTGGTTTCGACGTTGAACTTTATTCCAACACACAATTGTACAGTATCTTGACTGTTATTGCATGATTTTTTTTTCTCGTAATCATTCACACAGCCCGGTTGTAAAGTTGTACAAACGATCTTCATGTACTTCATGGCCACCAACTACTTCTGGATCCTGGTGGAGGGACTGTACCTCCACAACCTCATCTTCGTCTCCGTGTTTTCTGAGAGGAAGTTTTTCTACGGATTCATCGCGATTGGCTGGGGTGAGAGAAGCTTACTTTTTTTTTTAAATTTCAACATGTAATCACAAGACGTGGTGACGGCACACTCAAGTTTTATCAACTTATGTTAATGCCGTCATCAACACATGGGACAATACAATACTCATTTTCACCTGAGCGAAGTGAGGAAAGTCGTGTAAAGTGCCTTTCCCAAGGGCTCAAGATCGGTGGCATGTCAGGACTCTGCCGCTACGCCACACGACCACAAGCTTGCGTTTCCGAGTGTGCATATGCTGTTCAGTCGCCATGCACTGTGGTCTATGACAAAGTTCAAAATACTAACTAGTTGATAATGTGGTTTTGAATAAAAAATTTGAATGATTTCACCAAAATAAAAAGTAGCCACCAATGAGATTTGAACTCATGACCTCTGGTTTACTAGACCAGCGCTCTAACCAACTGAGCTATGGCGGCTGGTGGTTCTGAACATGGCAAGGCCTGCTTCGTGGGCTTTGATATATATATATATATGGATCTGTTGTCTTCTAAAATTTGTCAACACAACCAAGTTGTCTACATTCATTTAGAGATTATGTTTAAGATTCCTCAAGCTGATTTTATTGTTTAAAGTGTACTTTTCTACTGTTTTATCTGTTTTATTGTTTAAAGTGTACTTTTCTACTGTTTTATCTGTTTTATTGTTTAAAGTGTACTTTTCTACTGTTTTATCTGTTTTATTGTTTAAAGTGTAATGTTCTACTGTTTTATCTGACTTAAAATGTCCTGCCAATTGCAAGTAAACATGTAGTTTTAAACTGTGTCCGCCATCTTGAATTAAAAGCGTGCACCATCTTTGCTTTGCTGTACCTCATGAACATATGCTAATGAGGTACATGTAACCAGATAGCTTTCCCTGATATGTTGCATTTTGTACATTTCTGTAGTGTTCCCCCTAACGTTTGTGGTCCCCTGGGTGGCTGTACGTGCTACATTGGAGGATACAGGGTAAGTGCTACATTGACTTTCCTCAGATAAGCAAATAAGCATATCGTATGCGTAAAGAAGACCTGATGCCATTGACCAACACAGTTTTCTGATCTCGAAATACTTCTTTTCAGGTACGTGCAAAATTGCACATGGGCAAAAATTTTAGGTGCAATTTGAAAAATTTATGTGCAATACCATATTTATGTTGGTGAAGGTTAGACATCCAGGTGATAAGATATGCCAAAAACAGTTATTCAAGCAACTCGAAATGGTCAGACGTTTCAGGTAGCATCCACTACCTTTCGTCAGTGACACTAGAGAACTTGTGCAGAAAGGCAGGACTATTAGCAAGAACTTTTGATTGATATGCAAATAAGTGAAAACAATTTTTTTGAAGCCCAAAAATTCAGCAGATTCAGGAAATAAAGCTGAATTTGAGGTCAAACATGTTTTTCAAGTGACTGGAAAATACTGGTGCCTGGAATATGCACCAAACCTGCAAGAGTTTTTATACACTTACAATTATACTCAAGTGGGAAGCCCTTCCGGGATCAACTATATAACTGATACAGCTGTGTCCAAAATACTCCCTCACTTCCCCACCATTTCCTACCACGACAAAAAAACAAAACAATTTTACTACTAAAATCAAAGAACCCACATATTAGAAGAAGTAGGTAAATTCGTCTTCAATTGCCTAAAAAGAAGAAGTCAAACCCGGTAAAAACTAGTACCATGTATGTTGTAGAATATAGTATAACGTTAGACGCAGATATAGTCTCACATACCACTGTATTTTCCTTCTTATTTTGTTTGTAACTGCAATTAGCCCTCGGGTATGTATTTGCAATAAACTTTCTGTTATTCCTATAGGTGCTGGGACTCAGACGAAAAGGGATACACTTGGATCTACAAGGCCCCAATAGTGGCGGCCATTTTGGTAAGGCCTAACAAAATAAATGTTGTGTTTCCTATTACAGTCCAGAAAAAATTAGGGTCGGTAGGTAGGGATTCCCTTTTTTTTTTCTTTTTTTTTTTTTAGTCAAAGCCGGGACAATGAACATATGATCTGTTTGTACTACACAGAAAATTGGGCAGTACAAAACAGATCGTAAAATTCTTCAACAAAAGAGTTTGTATACTGTAACCTCTAGAAAGAGTCAGACAAGCGAGATGCAAACAGTCTGAAGTGAACACTTTATTCAGGGATCTCCCCAGAAATTCAGAGCAGGGTGGAGGAGCGCGCAGCGCGTTGCGGAGGGGGGAGGTCTGGAGGGGGGGCTGCTATTGCATTTTGTCTTTTCCAAACACAAATGGAGGTCATTTCCTGCAACTTCAGTTCTACATTTTCTGTACAATTGCAGATGTATAAGGCAGGAGAAAGGTTCAAGATCTGTACTTAATTATCCACTTCATGTTCCAAAAAAATTCTATTAGCACCCTTAATTTTGAAAAATTGGGCATAGGTTCCCCGGATGACCCCTAACCGGGGGCCAACGGTGCTTCCACAAGTTCAACAAGTGAAAAATACATGATACAAAATGTACATGTATTTACTACCTGGAACTTGGAGCAAAAAGTTATTCCAAAGATGTTACTGACATTAATATATTAAAAACTAAACCAAATCCTATTTCCCAAACAAATCACATATTGACACAGCTGAACAAATAAAAATGTGATCATGTCTATAAACTCCACTCAAAAACAATTTTTGAGAGACATTCGGGTCGCGGTGCTAAGTGTGATAATCTCTAATATCTCATCTGATTCTCCCAATGTATTAGGGACTTCACAATCACAGCATCCAACCGCACTAACACAAGAAACCAATAAATTCGGAAAATTTCTCAGTAATGTTTGAAAATTAACCTTATAAAAATATAAGTGAATTTTTATTTCAGTTGTAGCCGAAAAAAAATTTTTTTCATGCGTTTAAAGTTTCGTTTTAGCACCTTGTAATATGTACTTAGTACATGTATCTTGTACATTTGGATGCTATCTTGACCTTTGACCACTGTTATTGTGAAACACCGCCGGCCATTTTGTCAGTCTCGCCGTAGATTTTCGAGCCGTTTTTTCGAGCAAATTTCAACGGTTTTAAACATTTTACGGCCTCAAAAACTCATATAACGAGGAAAGCAAGTTGTAGTTGTTATTTTCATGCGTAACATTTCTTCTGGGGATGGATTATTTTTCCGCCGAGCTGCCGAAAACTAGCGTCATGCCGCGACCATGCGGTCGGGTGCGGGCGGCCGGCGGGAGTATCGGTGAGCTTTCACGATGTAAACAAAGACATTCGGAGTTGTTCACATGAAAATTTTGTTGTGAAACGCCGGTGGGGTGTCAGATTTTCTACCAATGACAACGTTTTCTTTGTGGCGTCATGGCGAGATCGACAATTCATCGACAATTGACAGGATTGTGCCGACAATGGAATTGAATAGCGGCCCGATCCGTGCAATTAGCGCTCGATCCACGCCGCCCGACCGAAGAAAATTGGAATGACGAGCACATTTATCGGGGATAAAACCCCCAATTTTGAAAATTTTGAAAACCGACCGCTAGCCGCTCGAAATTTTTGGTCGGCCCAAAAAAGGCTAGGGTCGGGGGGTTTTTCATAGGGTCGGTCGGGTAACCGGAAACACAACATTTTTTTTCCTAGGCCTAAGGATGATTTAGTAATAAAATGTTTTGCCTCCTGCATAAGTGTTAACCAACATGATTGATAATGTACTGTAAACTATTTGTCATCTAATATAGTATGTTGTTTATGACCACAGTATTACTATGTTTCCAAGCCATATTGTGCACATACTCTACTGCAGCCTAACCCATGTTGAAGCCTTGAATTTCATGGTCATTTTCTTTAAAAATCGGGATCCATTCCCTTTTACAATTTGTCTTAGCATAGCTATCCCTTAAATTGCTATAGTAATAATGGTCTTGTGTAAGTATAGTATCATAGAGAGTTCATAACTATAAATGTGGACACAAATGTCACAAATGTGGACTTCTGTTTTGCATTTTCAGCTAAACTTTTTCCTGTTCCTGAACATCCTGAGAGTACTGGCAAAGAAGATGCGGTCACCCGCCTCAGTGGCTGACCAGTAAGTTTACAGTGTTTGACCTACCTCGAAAGCTATAAATGTTTTTGATTTTGCTTTAAAATCATTCTTATTTTCACCAAAGTATTAAACGTCCGTGTTTTTAAGTGCATATTACTGTCAATCAATCAATGAGCCAATCAGCATCCAAGTTTTTTTAATCATTTCTAGGAACAACCAACAATGCTGCGCGTGTTGCTTCGGTGGTCAACCACAAGAACCAAGGTACTTACCTCCCAATTCTTTTCAAAGGCTGCGTATGCACACCTGATTTGATAGTCTTGAGGCAAACTAAAGCCAACAAAATTCGGTGTATCATGTCGATTCCAACATAGCTTATATCCCATGTCTGTATTACAGTGGCAGAAGAGGCAGCAGGAGAAGGAGCAGCATTCAACTGCAGATGCCCATGTGAGTCGTTGTCCCTATGCAGGCACGAGAGTTTAATCCAACAACATATCTGCAAAAAAAATAAGTATTATTGTTAAAAATAAATAAAAACGTACCTTATATTACTTTTTCATAGCTTGAAAGTTTATTGTACCGGTTCATTCTGTGGCATACGTTAAACTGAAGTTCCTAACATAGAGGAAGAGTGGCGAGAAGGAGAAGTTGAAAAACATCTATGGCGTCCCCCGGCTCTATTCAAAGATTGTCGCGAGAGTGACTCTTGCTTTCCGTCTTGTTTTGTGCACCGCTGACATACGCACTCTTCACACTTTTATAAATAGAATTTGCTAAAAGTTGTGCAAGTACACACATTGATACTAGATGCATCACACAACACAACACAACACAACACAATATGAATGGGTCTTTCTCATAACACATCACAAATTATTTTTTTCGGTTTCTTCGCAGGAAACTGGCGAAGTCGACCCTGGTTCTGATCCCGCTGTTTGGTGTCCACTACATCGTGTTTGCGGGCATGCCGGACAACGTTGGGGGTGTGGCCTACGAAGTTCGGCTCTACTTTGACTTGTTTTTCAACTCATTCCAGGTAAGTCCATTAATTAATTATACTGTCATGAAAGTTCACCTGTGTTGGTAGTTACATGTTTAGAGTTGAAACTTAGGATCCAACACAAAACGTTCTCTCACCTAGAGCTTTTGACCAGTCACTCTGGTCTTCCTCAGTAGACTGACCGTCACACTTTGACGTCACACTTCAAAGACGCCACATGGCAAGTCTCACTGGGTCAGTCTACTGAGGAAGACTAGAGTGACTGGTCTAAAGCTCTAGGTGAGAGATCTAGAACTTTTTGTGTTGGATCTGAAGTCCGTAAATTGTTTTCCTTAATAAGTACTTTGATAAACTATCAATCAAAGGATAATCTTATTACTTAAGTATCGCCACGCCTTAAGTGCACTAAGTGAGATACGAGAGGCGGTAAATGATATCGATTTTATGTCATTAAGCATTCAGAATCGTTTGAAATATAGTGGATGAAACACCTATATATAGCAGTAATATGAGATGCATTCTTCAAGCTGACAGTTTTGTTCAATTTTCTTTTGACAGGGATTCTTTGTGTCCATTCTGTACTGCTTCTTAAATGGAGAGGTAAGTATCTTCTTGAGTTAAGTCGATGATGTGTGCGTCATGGTTGGCATTGAGTCTTTTATCAGTAGCGAAGCACCTACTTAAGTCGTTACGTCTGGCAATAGCTTAGCTTTTACTTACGGAAGCATTGTTTGAATGACTGAGTTGTGGGTTTGTGTCTCTGTTTGCACTATTAACTTTGAATGCATGGTGGGTGGGAGGTGATTTTGACAGTTGATTGATTGAGAGATAACGCCTGAATAAGGTGACCCAGAACGTGCCGAGTGGGCGTATATGTTGGTGGTATGTGGAGGACTTCAGGAGGTGGTGTACTACTTGATGAAAGTACATCAAACAATACTAGTACCCTTTACAGTTCCAATTCATTCATGAAAACCCAAAACACTTTCCGAATGCCTTTGAATTTGAAGGTCACGATTTCAAATTCTAAATATTTTCTAGGTATCCGTGAATAGTTTCATCAGGTTGGTAAGACACTGAGTAAAGAGACTCTTTTTACACAACCAACCTTTTATTCAGTCGACGTTTTGGTGACCGTCTGTCACCTTCCTCAGGGCAATTCTGACTGGTTCACATTGCATTGCAGCACAGGTGTCGCTGCTACAGTTACAATTCCCATTCCGAAACATCGGCTGAATTAAAGACTTGGTTGCGTAAAAAGAGTCTCTTTACTTATTTCCTAGGTAGTCTGAAATCACTGATTTCGTGCTGTTTTGTTGTTAGGTGAAGGCTGAGTTTAAGCGGAGATGGGAACACTGGAAGCTGAAGAGAAACCTGGACGCCAGAGGGAACAGTCGCTCCCCTCTCAGCTTCACGTCACGAACATCCGTTGACTACAGGTTAGAAACATTTTTTTAACGGAGTGGTTCAACGCAAGGCCTATACGACCACTTCTCGGCATTGAACTAGAAAGATGAGAGAGACATGGCTATGTCAAGAGATGGCGGTGAACGTTTGATTTGAAAGCCTGTAGATTGTAGGTTGGTGGGAGACACTTGTCAGGGAATTCCAAAGCTTGACCGTACGGGAAAAGAAACTGTCACCGTAAAAAGATTTCAAACAAGGAATTTGCACCGTGTCAAACAGTTTTCTTACAAATATGTCTAACAATTTTCTTACTCAGATATATGCATATCGTAATTAGATGTCTCTCATTTACAATTTGGGTAATAGGAGGGGGCGCACTTTACTGTACACACCACTTCTTTTTTTGTCATCAGCGTGACGACACAAGCGGTAAGCAACGGAGGTCCCGCTGGCATGACGAACAACAACCTGGCACCAAACGGTTCCCCGACAAGAAACGGGCTGCTCCAGGTTAACAACGGCAAGAGTAGGGATGGTCCTTCCACTGTGACAGACCGTCCATCGCCACAGAAGCGGGCCTCTTTCAACGTGATCGTGGAGAGGATCTCAGAAGAGTGTGGTGAGAGACAGAACCTGATCGATGAGGGTGTGTTAGAGATGGAATCATCCCTCTGACCTACATGACTGCTTTAATCTCCAAACGGATTCTGTGGGTCAAAGGGAGTCTATATTTGCTTCCGGTAACCTGTAACCAATAACTTGATTATTCATTCATTCAGTCATTCAGTCATGCATTTATTCGATCGTTCATTCATTCATGCGATCATTCATTCATGCATTTATGCATTCATTCATTCATTCATTGGCTACCCCACGAAAGGATAGCCCCACCTTGGTTTTCTGTGGCAGATTCGTAGGTCGGCCAATGGATACATACGGCCAATATAGACTCCCATTGCCCCACAGAATCTGCTTGGAGATTGTCCTTGGCTACTCTTCGTTGTAAATGTATTGAGAGTTCCTGTGTAAAGTTGCTGTTAATGTCTCGAAATTGAGTTGTAAATATATGAAAAATCAAGTTTCTGAAAAATCAGGCAAATATGAAGGAAAAGGAAAAGATGTGGCTTTCATCAAAATGAAGTGGACCAGTATTACAGTGATTATGATAAAGAGCATGCGACATCGAGAAAGAAAATGTATATGGCCAGGTTTCCATTATATGATATAAGTCACTTCCTATGAAGAGAGTAGCTTTGCGACAACTGTCTGATGCACCCCACTATCTCATCTGTTAAGGGCTATCTGTCCATGGTTGTAACAAAGTAAGGACGTATATATACATGGACATTCCGTATAATCAACCTTACCACACTATGCATTGAACAGCAATTGAGAATGCTAAAGAGCACATAGCGTATGGCATCCAATATTCCTACATACCTTAAATTATGCGTAAATGTCACTTTTTAACGACAATTTTACGTATGATTTGATATCTGCTTGATTATTGTGTTGTATAATTCTTATGTTTGTATGTATTAGATTTTGTGTGTGAGCTTGAAATCAAAGAAAAATACCTGCAATCCATACATGACAACTGTACTCCTTTGTGCTGTAGCGTTATTCTGTGTTGTGAATTGTCTGTTAAAAGAATAATATACTTTGAGCTGTAAACATTCGAATGTATATCAAACAATGGTCTTTGAACCGTTATATTTATATTTACATATACATATATATATATTACTACGTAGCATAGAGAAGATGTATATATATGTTTGATTTTGAAGGCTGTACAAATATCGTTGAAGAGGTTCATCAGTCACGTAGAATTATCAGTTAGTAGAATATTCCTCAATCAGTGACTCTTTTGACAGGTAGAAACACGTACCTCCAAATTTCCGATGTCCACTGTACATCTTGCTCACGGAGTGACCTAGTCAGAGAACACAAGTCTCGACCTAGTCTCGTGTTCTCGCGAGACTAGGTCACTCCGTGAGCAAGATTTACAGTGGACATCGAAAATTTGGAGGTACGTGTTTCTACCTGTCACAAGAGTCACTGATTGAGAAATATTCTACTAACTGAAAACTGTACAGGGTTTTGTTGAGATGGATAACAGGGTTGCTATAATGTTTTACCGCAAAATGTTAGACTATCATTACAATTAGTAGTGTGTTTGTGATGTCCGTTATCAGACAATAAACTTTCCTTCAGTTGAACGCTGTTTGTTATCATTACAATACACTGAGAGAGAGAGAGAGAGAGAGAGAACTGTAGATAGAGATAGAGGGAAAGAGAGAGAGGAGGGGGAGAAGAGAGACGAAGATAGAGGGAGAGAGAGAGAGAGAGAGGAGGGGGGGGG